CTTTTATTTGTTGTTTATATCAAGTTTGAAATTTCTACCATGATTACCTGCTAATTTTATAATTAAAAAATTACTAAAGTTAAAAAAAGTGAATTTCAGGGCCGGCTGAGTGGCGCGATGGTTAAGAGCTGGCTTGGAACACCAGAGGGCCCCGGTTCAGATCCCACATATGAGGGCCAGTGACACTGCCCTCCACAGCTAAGATGCTGAACAACAGCTCAACCTGGAGAGGGGATGCCATGAGTCGCTGGCAGTGGGTTGCCATGGGCTACCGTGTGTAGCCAGCAGCCAGCGTGAGCGGCCAGCAGCCGCAGTGAGCGGCAGTCCAGAAGATGGCGACTGATCTGCCTCGCCCAGGAAGAGCACAATGATGGTGCCAACTTGGGCCAGTGAAGCAACGTCCTCCACAAGTAGACTGAAGAACAAAAGGACAGCAACTTGTCTGTTCCCCTTCCCCCAATTCCCCAGCACTGTTCCCATCCCTCCAATTCCCCAATAAAAATCTTTTTTAAAAAAAGTGAATTTCATCACCAAATGGTTCAATAGTATTAGCCTACTTTGAAGGATTGTGCTGTTTGTTTCATTTGTACTTTTTTTTTCCTTCAAAGCTCGGTGTCCAAAATATAACCCATTACTTCAGGATTTTCATCAGCGTAGGCACCAGTGAATTGAGTTTTTAATCTGGTAAGCATTTGCTGCACATCAAAAATACTGGCTTTAAAGAAAGAAATGCTTATTTATTTAGTTTTGTATTAATTTGCCACCTACCTCCAAGAAATATTTGAAACTCCTAAGGTAAGGCATTAATTAAATGCTGCTAAGGCAGAATTTCTGGCTAAATGAAAGAACTTCTATTACTATAGCGCTACATTTGCAAATTAGAAAAATCAAACACCACAAAAATCTGACTTCACTGAGGGATCCTAGCTCAGACCCACTGAACAGAGGTTGAATCAAGACTAGAATTGGGGTGTTTGAAGTGGGAGATGAAGATCTTTAACCAGAATGAAAAAGACCTAGGCCCTGGACAGTTGGCATTTAGCTGCTATTCACAAACTTGGCTACCAGGTCTTGAGAAGCCAAACCAGGGGCTGCAGAGTTGTGCCTTTGCTTTTGAGTCCCAGGATCCATCAAACCCATGTAGTAAAGAACCTAAGGGAAATTCTGTGACTCAGCTCTTATGGCCATCTCTGGTTCTCTTGGGGTCTGGCTAATTGCATGATCATATGGCATCTAAAGATCATGTCATCAACTGCTGGTATCATACTTGCTGCAAAGAGGCACTGGGAAACTGACCCTCAGCTCAGGCCATGGAAAATTTCCAAGATCAGGGTTCGTAGTGAGTTTCTTACATACAATGCATACTGTGGTGAGTGTCTTGGCTTAAGGCGTGGTCACTGTGGGCTGGAGGTGTTGAAGCAATGCTACTCATAAGGACAGAGAAGAATTACACTGTAGTGAATGTTGACCTGGGTTAAAGGGAAATGGAAGGAAGGAGTGAGGGTGAGGGAGAAATGCCTTGTATAATTAATTCAAGCAAGTGGTTGAAAGTGTCATTAGGAACAGTCCTATTGCCTTAGAAATCCATACACCTGTGTACAGAGCATGAGCACAAACAAAACAAATTTGAGATGTTGATAGGTGGTCTTAGTCAAAGCTTCTTGTTTGGGTGGAACATAAGCCTACTTACGTTGGCTCAGTTAAAGAGATCTGTATTAAAAAGACTCAATTAAAGAGACCTTTATTAAAAAGACACAGGGGCATCTTATGGGACAAGGACCAGTGGTTTGGGGGCTGGCATTGCAAACAAGGTGACAGGGTCTAAGACTGCCGACCTCTTGTTGTCCTTCTTGGGGCCACACACTCTCTTATTTCTTCTTTTCTCCACTTATCTAGCCCATTCTCCTCTGTGCCTTTGCAGATGGATGTTTCTGTTTATGCAGCCTGCTAATGAATGTACCTGAAAATGGCTGCTCCATCCCACTTCTGTGGAGCTTCTCAAGCTAAGCAATCATATTAAAGGACTGCAGTTTCTGCATCTCTTGGTTTACGTTTTAGGTGATTCTGACATAGCTATGTGTTTCCTTCAGCCCGGAGACCCATGTCTGGTTGGAACAGATGCTGGCTGTGTCCTGCCCATAGCCATTACCATTTCCATGCATGCTGGATACATTTCCAAATGCCAGTTCCTATATCTCTTTGTCTGGGGGCTTCTCTGAACGGGATGCCTCTGTGTAGGTGTGGCTGGCTAGAAATGCTGGGTATGAGTGCCCTGTGACTGAGGAGAGTTAGTGTGTAAACACCCTGATTCCTTTGGTGGGATAACTCCAAGGCTTGTCTTCTAGAGACTATTTCCAGTTCCCTACAGTGGTTGACAAGGCTTCGCTGCTTCTCTGTCTCATTTCTCCACTCCACTTCCAGTGCGTCTCAGAATCACCTGCTAAATAAACTACTTGCCTATGAATCCTTGCCTCTGAGTCTGCTTCTCGGGCAACCCAAAATAAAATCTTAGTCCAATTAGCTGTGACCAAAGTCACTTGAACAGGAAGGTCATCCTCAGAAGCAGGAAGCAGAACTGTGAGTGGGGCAGACATAGAAAGGTTGACCTTGATAAAAAGAAAAACCATTAGAAGGGGAGTTGGAGCACCAGGGCATGATGAAAAGATTTACCCCCACATGGAAATCCAGTCCTGAGGGTGGGGCTGTGTTGGAAAACATGTGGGAGGAGATGAAAGGTAAGGGCAACAGAAGCCCTATTGTTGTAGGAGCATATTACAGGCTGCCAGATCAGGTGGGGGAAACTGATGATGGATTCCTGACTGAGACCACACAACTGGCCTGGAGTCAAGACACTTATCGATGGGGGGCAACACCAGCTGGACAGCTGCTAAGAGTCCCCCATCAGCTGAAAGCAGATCCTCTGAACAAACTCTTCGTTTGCCTTGCTGACAGTTTCACTTCCTTTAAGACTGAGCAGTGACAAGAAGGATTGCTACTCTTCAGTTAATTCAAACCAAGGAGGAACCATTTGGTGAGGGAGTGGGTTGGGCCCTGGAGAGAAGGGGAGTTTGTCCTCTCAGAATGAGGGTCATGAGGAGTGGGTTGCTCAGGCTTCAAAAGATTTAAGTTCTCAGCTTATGAGCCATATACATCATCAAGGGCTGATACAGGCACTACTGCCCCCTCCAAGATTCTGATTCATCTGTTGGAAGTGGGCTCTTGTGGCAAGGGGGCCCCAGAGGGCACTTTGAAGAATAGTGCTTTAGAAAAAAAAATCAGAGATAGGAACTCTCACGGCTTGAGACTTTATAGGGACCATCCAGGAGGTTGGAAGAACGCAGAAATGAAATTGCAATTCAACTACAAAGAAGGAGCTCAAGGAGGAAGAAACGATGAACCTGACAGAGAGCTGCTGCTATGCAGGGAGCCCTGATGTCCACCATCTTTAAAAATCATGCAGAAGAGCAGACATATTGCCAATGAGGAACAAAAAAACAGTTGCAAAGAATAGTACAAGTGGGCCGGCCGAGTGGCGCGATGGTTAAGAACTCGCTTGGGATGCCAGAGGGCCCCGGTTCCGGATCCCACATATGAGGGCCAGTGACACTGCCCTCCACAGCTAAGATGCTGAACAACAGCTCAACCTGGAGCTGGGCTGCCATGAGTCGCCGGCGACGGCGTGGGCTGCAGTCCCTGTGGCAGTGGATTGCCATGGGCTACCGTGTGTGGCCAGCAGCCAGCGTGAGCGGCCAGCAGCCGCAGTGAGCGGCCGTCCAGAAGCCGGCGACTGATCTGCCTCGCCAGAGAAGAGCGCAATGATGGTGCCAACTTGGGCCAGTGAAGCAACGTCCTCCACAACTAGATTGAAGAACAAAAGGACAGCAACTTGTCTGTTCCCCTTTCCCCAATTCCCCAGCACTGTTCCCATCCCCCCAATTCCCCAATAAAAATCTTAAAAAAAAAAAGAATAGTACAAGTGGTGTCAGGAAGGCTAAAGAGTGACCTGAGGCTTAAACAATGCCAGGGCGGGATGACCCGTTAGCTTAGGTGATTAGAGCACAGGGCGCAGTGCTCATAACACCAAGGATGCCGGTTCGATTCCCGCATGGGCCACTGAGCTGTGCCCTCTACAACTAGATTGAAACAACTACTTGACTTGGAGCTGATGGGTCCCAGAGAAACACACTGTTCCCCAATAATCCCCCCTCAAAAAACCCCCAAAAAACAAACAAACAAACAAAAACAATGCCAGAGTATCCACAGGCTTTTAAAGTTAAATTCTGAATAGGAGGATGAATGAGAAAAGTGTCACTCACTGCTTGGGGGTCTGATGAGCTGATGTTCACACGTGACAGAAGAAGTGGCTTGCACCCATGTTGTTTTGGCCTGGGAATGACAACCACCATTATTAGACACCTCTTTGAGCAGATATTACCTCATTTAATCCTTGCAACACTACTGCAAGGTAGGTATTCCTTGTACTAGTCAGCTTTCTTCTATTTGCAAGTGTGATATATCCAGCTTAGACAAAAGGATAATTTATTGGCCCCTCTACCTGGGAAATAGAGTGATGGGGCTAGTCACAGGTGTGAGTAGATCTAGGGCTGCATATGACATGGGCCAAATTCTTTCTCATTCTTTCTCTCTCTTTTCTTGGTGTGGACCTCCCTTTCCTCTAACAGACAGATTTCCTGCATATGGTGGGGAACATGGCCACAGCCAGTATCAGCTTTACATTTGTCTAGTTCCATGGCTGTCAGGCAACGGGCCTTCCCTGCTAGTTTCAGTTGGAACAATCCTGGAGACGCTTCTGATTTGTCTACTTGGGTCAGTCCTATGCCTCAGTGGGCAGGTGAATGGGTACTTTGATTGGCTAGGCCTGTGTCACATACCTCATGGCTGCGTAAGAGGTGGGCGGGGCCTGCTACCAGAAGAAAGGGGTCAGGTTTGGAGGGTCCTGGTTAATCCCAAACACTAACTACCACATTCCCATTCTACAGATGTAGAAACGGAGGCTGAGAGATAAATGAAGTGGCCCAGATGATATTCATGGTATGCTGTGGAACCAGGACTCTACCCCAACACTGTAGCTTCTGCCAAACAAAGATGTCTCTTGTGTGCAGGATTAGAGAAAAAGGACAGAAGCCAGAACTGGTTTTCTGAAAGGATGTTATAGAAGAAGCTACTGGTGGCCCAGAATCCCTTCCTGGGGCTGGTCTGCCCACCCACTAGTTGCTGTGAGTGTTGGCTCCTGACGACCCATACCTGCACCTTCTCCTGACAATTGCCCTCACCTAGATGGGGGCCACCCACGAGAAATGCCTGGAAGGTCCCCACACCCTGCGGTGGCCAGCAGCCAATGACTGACTCATATGGAGGCAGAAGACTCATTCCCTTGCCTCCAGGTGGGCAAGTCTGAGGGCCTCTCACACTCCAGAGCTCCCCACAGGACCAAGCTGAGGCAAGACTTCAGCTGAACCCACAGCTCTGTTCAGCGCCTTCTCCTCCCCTCTCTTGCTTCTCTTATTCCTCTAGTTTCCACCTGAGAGGTCTTCCTTATTCACTTGCACAAACCCCTGTCTCAGCTTCTGCTTCAAGAGAACTGACCCAAGACAGGTATTAAAAGTCAAAGTTCATTTGGATCGCAAACTGGCTGACAATCCACGGGCACCAGGGGAGGAGCAGGAACCATGGTATAGTGCCAACAGTCTTCAATATGTCAGGAAAGCAGGGGTGCTGACAAGAGACAGTGGGGGAAAGAAGATATGGAGGGGTGCTGGAGGCACTTATTTAAATTCTGGCAAAACATACATAACATAAAATTGACCATTTTAATTTTTATTTATTTATTTATTTTAAAATTTTATTTAGCTGAGCCATCCTGCCACCTGTCGGCAGCTCAGCGGCTGCTCAGTTCGGGCCGGGACTCGAACCGCTGTTGCTCAGAGCTCAAACTCTTGAGTGAGCTCTTAACCAACTGAGCCACTCAGCCGGCCCAAAATTGACCATTTTTAAATGTGTGAGGTCTGACAATTAAGTTCGAGAACTTGTTGCAACGATGTTGCTAACCTTTTTTTGATATCAGAGGGATTATTCATTATGAATTTGTACCAAATGGACAAACAGTTAACCAAGTTTACTATTTGGAAATGCTGAAAAGGCTGCGTGAAAAAGTTAGACGACCTGAACTTTTCGCCAACAATTCGTGGCTCTTGCATCATGACAATGCATCAGCTCACACGGCACTGTCTGGGAGGGAGTTTTTAGCCAGTAAACAAATAACTGGATTGGAACACCCTCCCTGCTCACTTGATGTGGCTCCCAATGACTTCCTTCTTTATCCAAAGACAAAGGAAATATTGCAAGGAAGACATTTGGATGACATTCAGGACATCAAGGGTAATATGATGACAGTTCTGATGGCCATTCCAGAAAGAGTTCCAAAATTGCTTTGAAGGGTGGACTAGGCATTGGCGTCGGTGCATAGCTTCCCAAGGGGAGTACTTCGAAGGTGACTGTAGTGATATTCAGCAATGAGGTATGAGTGTGCGAACTTAATTGTCAGACCTCATACAGTGCAGTGGCATTAAGTACATTCACTTGTTGTGCAACCATCACCACCATCCATCTCCAGAACCTTTTTGTCTTTCCAAAATAAAATTCTGAGCCCATTAAACAACAACTCACCATTCTCTTTGATTCCTCCGGTCCCTTTCCAACAACCATTCGACTTTCCATCTCTATGAATTTGACTACTGTAGGGACCTCATATAAGTTTGGAATCATACAGTATTTGTCTTTTTGTGTCTGGTTTATTTCATTTCACATAATGTCCAACAAGTTTCACACACATGTCCCCATGTGTCAGTACTTCATTCCTTTTTAAGGCTGATAATATTGTGTTGTAGGAGTAGACAACATTTTGTTTATCCATTCATCCATCAATGGACATTTGGGTTGTTTACACCTTTTGAATATTGTGAATAATGCCACTATGAACATAGGTGTACAAATACCTGTTTGAGCCCCTGCTTTCAATTCGTTTGGATAAATATCCAGAAGTGGAACTTGGTAGATCCTATGGTAATTTTATGTTTAATTTTTGGAGGAACCTTTATACTGTTTTCCACAGCAGCTGCACCATTTTACATCCCCGCTGGCAGCACACAAGGGTTCCAATTTATCCACATCTTTGCAACACTTGTTATTTTCTTCCTTCCTTTCTTTCTTTTTTTTTAAAAAATAATAGCCATCCTAATGGGTGTGAAGTGGAGGCAATTTTGGAGGCAAAAGCCTGAGAAGCTTCCCCACGTCTCTCTGCAATGGCTGCTGGATGGGGGCCAGGCACGGCACTGCCACTAAGAGCAACCTGATGGTGTCCAGGTCGAGGGCCCTGCCCATCTTTGCCTTCTCGACAGCCATCAACACTGCGGGGGTAAGGTGCGTCACTGTTTTAGTCGTTTAGATTTTCCTTGTTCTTTTTCTAAATCCCTTTGCCCATGGGTGCAGACAGAACCCGCTGGGCTGAGGAGGAGGACGATTTTAGTGACAGATTGCTCAATCCTTAGACGCAGCTCTGCGCTCTGGCATGGGGCCAAGCCGCAGCTTGTCAGTTCTCTCTTCCCCAAGGCTGATTCTCTCCAGGAAGCATCTGGACAACTGGAGGGCGAGTTCTCCAACGCCTGAGGCTGCTCAGGCAGGGGGAACCCCAGTGTAGACCCAGCCAAGCTCGGTGTGCTTTCCCTCCACCTGTTGTTCTTGGTCTTAGTTTAGGTTGCCCTAAAAGCGGACCCGAGGGAAGGATTTCAGTGCTCATAGTTTATTTGGGAGGTGAGCCCAAGAAGCACAGTGAGAGGAAGTGAGACAAGGAAGGAAAGCCAAGGAAAGGTGCTTCAGTGAGCAGGTTTCCACGATGGGCACTGGGGTTCAGTCCTCCAGAGGCCCTTCTCACAGGCTGTCTGGAATGTGGCTCAAAACTGTCCCATTGACAGGTGAGGAAGTTGGGTACTTCTCCACCAATTCCTGGCCCTCATCCTTTGAGGGCTGTTCTGGAAGGCGCTAACTCCCTGGTACTTCCAGTCAGCCCAGACCTGCTGCAGGCAGAGGGAGAGAAAAAGCAGCTGGTGTGTGACCCCCAGGGTAAGGCTGAAGGGATACAGGTGAGGCGCTGACAGTATCTGTGACATTTTCCTTGACATTAAAGGGTGTTGAGGAAGGTGTTGATGTCAACCTGGAGGAAGGTGGTAAGGTCAGGATGGAGGGTACAGTCCTAAGCTTGGACCTGGTGAACAATTTCAGACTCTTATTCAGTTTTGAGTAATATTTACTGAGTCTCTGATTCGAGCCAGGCACCAAGCTTGGAATTTTCCTCTGCAATATCATATTTGACCCTCGTGACAACCTTGTGAAAGAAGGTATTGTTAGCTGCGATTTTGCATATGAGGATAAGATTCAGAGAGGTTAAGAAGCTTCCAGAGGGTCACACAGGCCCAGTTCTGCCTGTCTTAGTGAGTCTGGCATTCCAGTACTATTCCAAAAGTGCACCCTTACTAGCTCTGAGGATGGCTCAGATCTGGGAAGGCTGAGAAGTTCTGCTGGCTGACAGATCCAGGCCCTCCAACTCCAGATGCACCTATGGAGACAGGGAGTGCTGGGCGTGGTCAGAAGGACACTGCCCTGGGAGCAGTAAGCTGGTATAGCTACTATGGAAAACAGTGTGGAAGCGCCTCAAAAAATTAAAAATAGAACTACTATATCATCCAGTAATCCCACTTCTAGGTATATGTCTGAAGAAGATGAAATCACTATCTCAAAGAGATACCTGCACCTCCATGTTCATGGCAGCATTATTTACAATATCTAAGGCATGGAAGCCACCTACGTGTCTGTTGACAGATGAATGGATAAAGAAAATGTGGTACATATATATGTCTATATATCTATCTGTAGGTATAGGTACATATAGATATACATCACACACACAATGGAATATTATTCAGCCATGAGAATGAAGGAAAGCCTGCCATTTGCCACAAGATGGATGGATCTTGAAAGCATAATTTTAGGTAAAATAAGTTAGACAGAAAAAAATAAACACTGCATGGTATCACTTATATGTGTAATCTTAAAAAAAGAGTCAAATTCATAGAAATAGAGTAGAAAAGTGGCTGCCAGGGGGTAGGGGTGGGGAAATAGGGAGAGGTTGGTAATGGGTAGAAACTTTCAGCTATAAGATGAATAAGGTTTGAAGATCCGAGGATCCGATGCAAAGCATGGTGACTGTGGTTGATAACACTGCTGTATGGTTGAGGTTTGCTGGAGGGTAGGCATGAAACTCAAATGTTCTCACATACATACATACATACATACATACATACACAAATGGAAAGGATAGATATATGAGGTCATGGATGTGTTAATTAACTAGATGGGAGGATGCTTTCACAATATAGACCTGTGTCGGGTCACCATGATGTACACTAAATATCTTACAATGTTGTTTGTCAATTATACTCGATAAAGTTGAAATAAAAAAAAAAGGAACACTGCTGGGGGCGGGGGCGGTGGCTTGCCATGACCCATTCATTCTCTGAATCCCTGTGGGCAATTTATTCAGCCTTTCTGATCTCCAATTCTCTCACCCTTCAAACGAAGAGCCTGGACCAGGCTGTCTCATGTCTAAGGCCCCTTTCAGCTCTATGAGTCTATGATTCTACGTGACGTTAAGTTGCAAAGTGCATATAATTCACATGTCACATGAAGCTCAGTGGCGCAGAACTGTGACACAGGGCAGGGTTGGCTGGGCCTCAGACAGCTCCCCTCAGAGGGACATTTACCTTGGTGGTCTGTCTATGGCCTGATGTGGCTCTCAGCTTTGTAGGCTCAGGAACTCAGTCTCACTTTGGTCAGTGTGAGTCAGCTCTAAAACCAAGTTAACACAAGGCTGCTAGAAGGAGCCGGAAGGTTAATGCATTTATTTACAATCAGAAACTGGTTGACTGGATGCTGTCATGACCTGGGCCCTGGCCTTGTAGGTTTGTCACAGGACTGCCTTATTGTTTGAGACTTGTGGGGTGTCATGGACTCTGGGCAAGGGTAAGGACTTCCAGGATTTGTGGGTTTCCTGGGACTAGATTCAGACAGTCACTGCATAACCCCTGCATAAGGCTGCACCTATCAGAGGTGTGGCTATTTGAGCCCACCTAGTGGAGAGCAGCACTTTATTATGATCTTATGCCCTAATTTTTTTGAGATATAAGCAGTAAAAAGCACAAATCTTAAGTGTCAGCTGATGAATATTTACATATGTCTGCACCCATGTAATCACCACCCAAATCGAGATATTGAACATTCTCATCATTCTAGAATCTTCCCTCGAAATCCTCCCTGGCCAATAACCTCCTTTCTCCAGTTAACCACTGTTCTGGCATCTGACACTGTAGATTAGTTTTCCCTGTTTTTGAACTTCATATGAATGGAATCATCTAGTATATACTCTTTTACATTTTCTTTTTCTCAATGTATCTCTGAGATTCATCCATACTGTTACAAATACTTTGCTCTTTCTCATTGCTCTATAGTTGCCCATTATATGAAGTACACCAGAATTAGTTTTTCTATTCTTTGATTGATGGACATTTAGGCTCCCAGTCTGGGGCTATTATGACTAATTCTTCGATGAACATTCTTGTGTATTTTTCTTCTTGGAATAGGAACTCGTATCTCATTACTCCTTGCTTTAATGTGAAAATAAAAGTTAGTAGGTAAGAATGCCCCTCTCTTTCTCACT